TTTAAAGACAGCTATTATGAAACCTTGTAAGAAACATTTAAATCCTGAGAAAAGAACAAATCGTAAGGATTGGATGACTGGTAAGATACTGACGCTTATCGAAGAAACCTGAAGAATAAAGACAGGCAGAAGTATAAAGAAGTACATCAAATATAAATGTCGCCAAGCAGAGGAAGAATGAATAAATGAGAAATATACCGAGATAGAAAATCTACAGAGACTACATGATTCCCAGTGTGCCTAAAAAGAACTTATTATAACTGTTCGGAGACAAAAATGCATTCTTACAAATGAAGAGAGAAACATTATGTTGAATACTTTTCAATGACCAGAGAGGAGATAGAGATCAATACTAACACTGAAGCTGGACCGGTCTTTTGGCCACGCGGTTACTCAATGTCCCACGCTAACTAATGTCCTAAAATTATTAAGTAATTTCTAAGTATGGAATCCCTGAACCCATCGTAATTGAATCTAGAATTTAATCACCGTTTCTTCGTTTTAGATCAAGAAATACACAATTTAGAGTAATCCTAAGATAATTGCAAGTTTGCAAAGCTGGGAGAAGAGAAGATTAAATTATCATTGTAGGAATAGGACATGAGTAGCGAGGAATCAAAGAAAGAATAGGATTTGGGAGCGATTTATTAATCAGTTTAGGGTGAATCAGTACCTGAAGGTTTTGGATTGATGATGTTACCGTCAATCTGTATAATTCAGGTACTCTATACAATGCCTAGGTAATGTATAAAATACCAGGGGTGTCTAGGCAATGTATGAAATATTATGAAGATTATTGTCCCTTAGATACTTTACCTAGGTAATGTATACAATTCTTAGGGATTACATAGAATAACTGTTGGTCAACCGGCAATGTGTAAAATAAATAGATTTTGGTCTGTATTTATAAATTTTTACTCATAATAAACTTTTTTATAATCTATAAGTTATTGTACTAAAAAAGGCACCTACTTAGTACCTTTCTGTAACTATAGTAAAATCGCAATTAAATATTGCTGAGTTAACTAACATAATGTCATTTGCTAATCAATCAATAAGTATTAAAAACTGAGGAAACAAAATAATTCCCTGTTCTCGCTTTTTACACACATTGCCGGCTTCGCATTCGGTATTTTATAGAATACCTAGGTAAAGTATAAAATTAATAATATTTCATATATTACCTAAACGTTTTAGGTATTCTATAAATTGCCTAGGTATTGTATAAAATACCGGATTATACAGATTGCCGGTAACATATATAATGGCAGTAACGATTATAAATTAAAGGAGAATTAAATGTATGCTCTGCAAAACATTCTTCAAAGTAGAAAACAATGGGTTGCATAAGTTCCGAATTGATAAGTTCCGAATACTTAAATTACATTATGCTTGAATGACAATGCCAGTTGATGATTTAAGTGAGGATAACGTATGCTCCTTATGGCAGTTATGATTAAAACATACTTCTTGATTTGATGTTGCTAAATTAAGAAGCTAATCAGGTTTCCTAATCAGCTGTGCCACATAATCTAAAATGGGGTTTCAAAGAACTTCTTTTGTACTTCCAATTTTTGAATAACTGCTACTGTAGTTATCGCTGTGACAGAATAAAGCGAAGCATACGTCGAAGAACTATCAATAACGGCCAAAATATGATAGTAGTTCATACTTGTAGAAATTAGCGGTCCTAAACGCCTAATCTTGCCAATTTTCTACCCGAATTTTGGAATAAAACGTGTTTGGATTAACCTCTTTCCCATAATTTTCATTTCAGAGACTATAGTTATCTCGGAGTCCTTAGCATGTCATAAGGAACAGATTGCAAACGTTTGCCTTGGACTAATTTGTCAAACATTGATTTCTTCAGTCATTGTACTGTTAATGTTTCAGTAACTCATAAATTGTCTAACATTCTTGACTGACTTTTTGTGCCCTCTCGTTAACAGGAGAAATATGATTATTTATTTCAATTAATTTATATCACTTTTCTATTTTGTATTTAACACATAAATTGTAAATTTAATGCTTTAATAACCGCAGGCACTTCTAGTTCGTGGCTGATAAACCTACTTAATCTCGACCAGGGTGGTGCTCTTATTCATTAAACAAACTGAATTAAATCGTTAATTCGCAGGATTTCTTGGTAATAATAATGTTCATAATTTCACCTTCTTTAAAGTTAAATGGTTTAGTTTGGTCGCTCAATGGTTTCGCTATACAAAAACTGGTATTCTCCCAAATTGGTATTGATGAGCCATATCTTTGACTGGCTTATTCTACAGGGACATGAAAGTACTGAAGATTTTTGCCACCTATAGACAATAGGATATTAATCTTTCTCCACTAATTTGTTCATTCATCGATAGCATATGCACAGATGGAATAATACATCCTTCATTTTGACTGGCATACTTAAAATATATATCGATAGTGCCAACCTCTAACTATTGGGGAATTCTGTTTTTAACGCATTCACGTTCTACAAATGGCAGTCGTCTAGTTGTGCAAGAGATCGCTTTACAATTTCAAAATTATTTTCATCCCTATATCTATTTCTTTCCCTTAGTCTGCCAATACTTAATCATCCTCTAGGCCATCCTCTATACTTATTGCAAAATATTTAGGCAATGTATTAATTACTGTTATTTTTGAATGAAACAAAAATCTAGAAACACCTTATTTATTTCTAAATGGGTAGCCAGAGTCGTACAAAATTTGGGATATGCCTATTTTGCGATGCGAAGATTCCAGGCTTGGTATTCACAATAATTCACAATTACTGATATTTTATATTTATTATACCCTATCATTATTGGAATGCAATGCGAATTTAATCATGTGTGATCTTAAATAAATAAAATTCTTTCTGACTAAATTGCAAGGGGAATTTCATTTGCGGAGTTATATTCGTCATCAGCTACAACAACTGGTGTATTCTGAGTTTCGGCTCCAATTAAATGTTTTTTTTAAGTGGTATGCTGACAGAACCACTTGACGGCAAAGGGTTAAGTACGTACTTTAATCAATAATTATTTAAGTCAAATCGTTAATGTTTTATTAGTGTTCAATTTCATTCCTTGTAATTTTGTTATGTCATAATTTTTAAGAATTAAATAGAACGCTTAAAAACTGAAATAATATACTCAATGATTTAATTATTGATACCTTCCAAAATTACTCGTAATACATTGTCTATAATCCTCTGAAATGTAGCTGGTACTTTTTATGCCAAAAGGCTTCTTTTGAATTCAATGAATAGACGTGTTGGTGCTGATGAATAAGCTTTGTTTGAAATTGTTAAGGAAGGGAAGTTGGAACTCAAAATGCTGATGTCCAGAATTCCCTTGCGATGTTTGCTTGTAATATTCTTTGCAAACTAAATATAATTAATCTTGATTTTCTCTCTTATGAGCAAGTCATGGAATTTTGCTACTTGAGTGTGCAATCTCAAGCGCTCACGATCTCACAAAGGACCTAAGAAGTCAAATCAACAAAGCATCCGCAAATTGAGAATAGTATAGTGCGGATATACAACACTTACATTCATCCAACAATGACTAAGAGCATATGAAGAGTAGTAGAAATGAAGACTCTGAGGACAATCTCAAGAAAGATCAGATGGGATAGAATTAAGAACTCAGACATCAGAAACCAATGTAGGGTTCAGGACATTGTTAGACGGGGGAGACAGCACAAGAGACTTTGGCACAACCACGTCCATAAAATACCAGATAACAGAGTGCCGAAAATTATGGTTGCAAATAACCCGCCCGAAACCAGACATCAGGCAAACTACCAAAAGGATGGCGAGACAGTTAGCAGTCAAGTTCTCAGAAAATATTTCAGAGGTCTCTCTGGTCTAGAGAAAGAAAGGAAAAAAGAAGGGAAATTTTCTTCGTCGTATATAATAGTAACAATACTCGTAATTCTCTATAGTTTCAGCTGTTTCTGCTTAAAATTCTATGTTGTTCAAGATCCATTGCCGTTTTGCCGGCGATTGGTACTGACGAGGTGGGAAGTTTCAGTGCGCTATCGTCGGCTTCCATCGGTGTTGATCGGTATCGTCTATGACAAAACCAGGTTTCCAGGAAATGTTCGATTAGGTCTTGATTATTGCGGTTAATTCCCGATGAGATGCTTGCCGAGCTGGAAGACTAAATCTAGTTTGTTGCACTGATGATAATATTGGTTTTGATAGGCTATCATAGGAAGCAAAATCGTTGCGACGTTTATTGTTTTGATGGTTTCGAAACATTTCAAAATTAAAGATAAATCGTTGAATCTGTATGTTGTAATTAACCGTCTCCAAGGCAAATTCTTTCGATATTTGGAGATCTATGTAATTTAACTATTTTACGTAATTCTCGCTAATTTGTCGCTATATTACTTTGTTTTTCACGGGAATGGAAAATTTTAGGAGAAAAATTAACACTTACAGTATTAATTTAAAGAATAAAGTAATTGTTTTCATTGGTTGATTTCCTTTCGTTTTATTTCCTCGGCAGGGTGTTTCTTCGCCCACTTCGGCTACTTGTTTGTTATTTGTTCTGTAAATTTTTCATTAAACGAAACTAAATGAAAAGCTAAAATCTTTTACAGGAATTTCAATTAATTATTAAAATCATGTATAAGCTTCGATGAACCAAACTGTTTAATATTTCTTTGGTGTTTAATTGCCTCCGAAACAACATTTATTATTATTTGTACAATTATATGTTAATTAGTTAATACGTATTATTTTAAATCGCAAATTGTATAAAATGAGGATGATAAACGAAAAACAAATAAATCTTTAAAATGACTGTTCAAAATTCATAAATAGATTAGAAAGATATTTCCATTTATAGTCCGAACACAATAACTAATCAAACTCTGTACCGGTTATCTACAACCAAAGCGATATCGCTTGCATAAAATTTTTTATCACCACATTTTTGATTAAAATCTCTATATAATCAACCCAGCTACTTAAAACGTCCAGTTTCGATTAGTCCTCGTTACGATCAAGATTTACAAAGAAAACTCAATCTCCAAAACCAACTAAGTACAAATTAAAATGGAAAACGGCACTCACACTTTAAATACTAAAGATACTTGTGAAAGCAATAAAGTCGAAAATGAAGAAAAATCACCACCACAAAAACTCCTTCACGATGAAGTTGTCGATGCTTTAATTAAAGAAGCCGAAAAAAGAGGATTAACTAATTGTCAACTCGATATAACATCCGGTAGTGCAAAAGGAGATAATTTTATGGGTATTTTAGCGAAAGTAAAAGTAACAGGAAAAAATGTTGACGGAGAAGATGTCGAATGGAATTGGATTGCAAAAGCAGCCCCACAAACCGATATGTACCGTTCAATGCTAAAAATAGACATTGCATATGCAACAGAAGTTTACATGTACAAACTTTTCGATCAACTCGACGAATTCCAAGCAGAAAAGAAACTTTTACAACCCTTTAACGCCCATCCGAAATTCGTACTTTCATATCTCGAACCGTATAAGGAGAGTTTTGTTATGGAAGATTTGAAAGCGGAAGGTTATGTTTTGAGAGATCGGAAACAACCGCTCGATCTCCATCACGTAAAGCACGTCATGAGGGAATATGGTAAATTTCATGCGATTTCATTTGCTTTGAGAGATCAAAAACCGGAACTTTTTGCTAAATTGGCTAAAGAAACTAAAGATAAAATATTTAGTATGGATGATATCGCTGAATTGGAAAAAATGAAAAAGTTTCAAAATAATTTTTGTGAAAAACTTTTGGATACATTAAATAAGGAAGCTGATGCAGAAGCGATTAAATCTTTTAAATATTACGCCAAAGATCCTATTCAAGTTCATATAGATTCAGTTGAAAATACTAATGAGTACAGTGTTATTTTACATGGTGATTGTTGGACTAATAATTTTATATGGAAGTATGAGGTAAGACTTCATGCAATCTATAATTTTATTATAAAGTTTAAACACATTAAAGATAAAGTAAAACCTCTTTCTTTTTTTGTATAGTATTTTATACACATTTCCTTATTGAGTTATTTTATTTTCTATTATATTCTAATCTTTAAAATAACCGATCATTTATTAGAATGACATTTGTAAAATTTATCCATAACTTTTTTTGATTCAAACTTATTGTATTACATGAACAATATCTACGATTATGATAAAAACCACTAAATCTAAATTATAACATAATGAATGTTATCTAATCGAATGAACCCCAAATATAAAAATACAACAAATAATCTCAAAATAATTTACTATTTATTTACAAACTTAATCTACAGGTTTTTTATAATTTTTCAGGATGCTGAAAATCCAGAACTGCCGACCAAAGTATGTATATTAGATTGGCAATTATCTCGTTACGGATCAGTAGCATTAGATCTTTCCTACTTCTTTTACGCTTGCACAAGTCAAGAATTCAGAGAAAAACACTACGACAAAATGATTCAACTGTATTATTACACGTTGTGTTCGCATTTAGTGGAAATGGGAAGCGACCCGGAAAAACTATTTCCGTACTCGGCGTTGATTAACGAACTGAAAAATCATTGCACGTTCGGTGTTTATATGGGCACAATGGTTTTACATATCATGATGAGCGATAATACCGAAGTGCCCGAATTCGGTAAAAGCGAAAATGTCGATCAGTTCATGGAGGCTTTCGATTATAAAAGTGTTAACGATAATCTTTTTAGAGACCGTGCTAGGGGAGTTATAGTGCATATGCATCAAAAAGGATATTTTGATTACTTAAAAGAAACGTAGTTTAAAAAATAACAGTTTTAAATTATTTTTTCCTTATATTTATATAAATTATGTTCATTTTTTGTTTGTTGACAATTTGTTTATAATAAAGTTAATGTTAAAAGAGTTATGTATTGAATTTTGCTTTAACTTGCAACCGAAATCTAAATAAGTTAGTAAATTCCACATTTTAATATTGTAACCAGACACGAGATCGTAAAGGCTCCTGGTTCTCTCGAGATACAATTAATACGTTACGTGAAAAAAAGCATGTGAATAGGAAATGGAAACGCTACAGATTTCGTTTGGACTACCTTACTTTTTCTTTGCTAAAACGTCATTCAAAATATCTTATTGCACGTGACCATAAAAATTATATCAATCGCGTTTACAATTCGGTTGCTACTGACTCCAAACAACTTTGGTCGTATTTAAAGCAAAGAAAAGGTGGTACTGGCGTGTCGACGGTTATTCAGCTTAATGGCGTATCCACTGTAGATCGAGAAGAAATTTGTGCTTTTTTTCTCTGAATATTTTGGCTGTTTTCGTTGAGCCTGTGATGAGCGTGTATTCTGAGGGGGACCAATTTTTAATTTGGAATTTGGAATTGTTAGAAGTTGAACAGGCACTTCATGGTGTTAACATCTTTAAGGGCTCGGATAACATTTCATCAATTTTCATTCGAGGCTGCACTAGAGCGCTATCTAAGCCTTTAAAATTAATTTTTAATATGTCCCTGCGTTTTGGTGTCTTGGTTACCTAGGAAATTTTCAACTACCAACACAAAACTTTTCCAAGCTTTACTTTCCGGAACAGTCATAACTTTAATAAAATCTGTGTCTTTCATCAATTGCCGTATTTGAGGACCATTAAATATTCCACCTTTCAACTTTTCCATACTAAACTTCGGAAATGTTCTACAAATGTAATTAAAACAATCTTCTTCTTTGTCCAACGCTTTTACAAATTGCTTTATCATTCCTAACTTAATATGTAATGGTGAAAGTATGATTTTGTCTCTGCTCACCAACGGCTCCCTTATTACATTGGCTTTATCGACAATTAAAGAATTTCTTACAGGCCAACATCTTGTTCCCAATAAAGTTGCTATGCTTACTGTCAAACATAATAATGATGAAGCAAGGGTATTTCGTGTGTCCACTTTATTGATCAAGTAAAAAATTAACCATTTTCAAATCCACACAGATCAGCCATTGATGCTCCGAGTAATTAATTTTTTCTGAAACTAATTTTTACATTTTTATATTCTTCTTTGAGTTTTATTGAATGGGCAATTGGAATTGATGCAAATTTATTTCCATTGTGCAGTAAGACGCATTTTAAACTTGTTTTACAACTGTCAATAAAAAGGCGCTACTCAGCAGGTTTGTATTCTTTTAAACCCATGTCAAAGCAGCTTGAGATAAATTGAGATCACGTATTAAATCACTGAGTTCATTTTGAGAAAATAACTTTGGCGTAGATGTTTCACCCTCCCATTCACTTCCAGAATTTTCCAGAACAGGTAATTTTGTAGACTGTAAGTCTGGATATCTCGACGTTTAATTTCGATTAAAACATTTAACATCTACTACGCAAAAGTAACAATCATCGAAATGATTCTTACGCTCCATCCAGATCATAGGAATACCAAAGTCTAATCCAGAACGTTCTCCTTTTTTCTCAACACAGGACTTACAAACTTTATGAGGAACCCATGATTTATCCAGTTTGTCCATTTTAAAAGCAAAATATTCAACATACGTCTCCTCGACAAAGTCTGTGAAATTTCTTTTTTGTTTTTTTGTTATATAAACACCGCAAATAAAACAAAATAAATCACTACTATATTTACACTTTCTTCGTGACGAACGAATGTTTTAAAAGACAAGACAAATATATTAGAATGGACATTCAGTAATTGAAACAAAATATTAACACATGACAACTTATCCAGATTCACGTGTAAGTGCTTCAATATTGTCAAATAACTGAGATCTCAGCTGTTTTGCGGAGAAAGGGGTGTGAGAATGGGGATCACGTGATGTTTGTATGCGCGAAAAAGTTGCGTAAATTACTAACAAGCCGATAATAGTTCAAAATATAAGATTGTGATGAACGTGTATTTTATTATCAAAACACAATTTTTACATATATCATAGAATATTTCGGGAGCAGGTTCAAACAGAAATTCGTTAATTCAAAAATTCGACTTAACGCTTTTTTTGTTTATTTACTACTATCATTTTTTTTTTTTGTTTCCATGATTTTTATTTTTTTATATTAACGCCACCTCTTAATACTATCATAAGTGATATTATTACAATTTCCCCATATTCAAAATTAGCAAATTTACAAATGTAGATGACGGAAATTTTGTAATTCAACGTACCTTAAATTATTAATTTAAAATTAACGTTTTACAACAATTACGGTTTAAATTATCTTATAATTAATATCGTATTAAATTAGTTTCTTCATTAAAGTTGAAGAAATTATGAGGGTTATCGTAAAATTTGGTATGAATTTTGAAGTGATTTATTTTACCTAAGTTTTTTACCATTCTTCTCCTGTTGGTACAGTCAGCGTTTTTTTTACATCATCCACATTTTGGTTCGTTCTATCTTCGGAATAATCCTTATAAATCACGTGATTCATATATACATTTTCTCGTTCTGGGAGATTTCTTCGATTCTGTGGTACAAAATTAAATCTACGTGGTGGTCTTCTGTCATTATTTTGGAGTCTTGATTGAGAATTTCTATATCCATAATTATCGTGTCCATTTCCATTTCTATTTCGAGAGTAATTATTATCATATCTATTATTACTACCGTAGGTTTTATCATTATTATCACAATATACGAACTGTGATATTGTTATTGTTATTGTAATTGTAGTTTCTTTGACTTTGCTCTGGTTTTTTATGGTAGTTGTAGTTATAGTTTACTTTTGTATGCCCGTAGTTTATATTTTGATAATTTAAATTCCTTTCTTTTCTTTGGTTTTCCGTAAAATCATCTAATCTTCTTAAAATCTCCATTAATTCATTCATGCTGGAAATATTTTGATAAACAAGTGCTACGTNTTTTTCTGTTGCCTTGAGAATATATTTAACACTACCAGTCACAGTTGCAACAGGCGAAAGGAGTTTTTCTAAGTTAAAATTAATTAAATCATATTTAAGATCATCTATGTGCCAAGAGAGACTTAGTAACTTAAGTTTAGTAGCAATAGAAAAAGAATTGTCAGAAGAAATTAATTTAGATACCGTTATTGACGAACTTGCAAATAAAAAAGCACGAAAAGTGCAATTTTAGTGCAATATCAGTTTTTTAGTTTTTGAAAATTTTTTTAACTATTTGAGTTTTAAGCGATAAAGTAAACGTTTGTTAAACATCAAATCAATTTTTATTCATTCCTTTATCAATTCCTTATTGTTAAAAAAAAATTAAAAATGCGCTACAATTAATAATAAATACAAGATCTTTAAAAAGGTGGCTCTTTCGGGGGCGGCTGAAATTAAATGGCACGATAATGACTTCATCCCTAGAACCGGGCCTGACTTCCAAACGCAATTGCTTGAGTTTTAGTAGTATTTAATTTAAGGCCATAACGTTTAGGCCAATCCAAAATATTAGAAAAATCATGATTAAGACGTGCAATTGCTTCCGGAAAATCATCAATAGTTGTCATAGTGTAAATTTGGAGGTCATCAGCATACACATGATAATTACAAAAAATGCAGTGGGTGACCGCATTAATAAAAATTGAAAAGAGCAACGGACCCAACACACTACTCTGAGGTACACCATATTTAATATCACAAGCAGACGAGAGCGGAGAATCAGCACGCACACACAAGGAACGACAGGAAAGGTAAGATTGAAACCAAGATAAACATGAAGAGGTAAATCCAAGGGCAGCCAGTGACGCCAACAAGAGCTCGTGATCAACCGAATCGAACGTTATGCTGAAGTCAAGTAGTACAAGGATGGTAACACAAGGTTTGTCGCATGCATACCTAATATCATCTGTAATCTTAATAAACGCTGTTGTCGTGCTATGGCCTTTACGAAAACCCAATTGAAACTCGTTGTGCAAATTAAATTCTTGTAATTACTCTTGAACTTGTAACTAATCAAGGCGCTCAAGAGCTTTGGATAGAACAGATAAAATGGAAATTTAAACTTGAAGGACTCTTGGATTTAGGTATAGGGACAACATGAGCAACCTTCCAGATTGAAGGGAATGAGGATCGTTCAATGGAGAAGTTAAAAATGTGAGCAATAGGAGTAAGAACAATATCCAATATAGGAAGAAGAAGATGAGACCAACTCCATCAGCTCCCACACTAGTAGACTTCGAGTGATTCAAGGCATCGCGGATTTCTGATGCTGTGACCAGAACAAAGGAAAAAGAGGAGGATTTCGATGAGGCAAGAATTTCAGTAATAGTAGTCATCTTAGTCTCACCACTAATGAGCAAAGGAGGGTCATCAAAAAACCTCGCCAATGAATCCCTATCGAAAGCAGCCCGATCAGAGGGGGACTCAGCAGCCTCTAAGGAACGCATAAACCTCCAAAACGTCCTCGGAGTAGCACTGGATAGTCTCCGGTAGAAATAAAACTTTTTGGCATTCCTACATTGGTGATTGCAACGGTTACGCAAGATAGTTGTTGGAATACGTTTAAATAATAGCTTTGCACGGTTACATTCTCTCATCAATGATCTTATGTCATCACTTATTATCTTCATTATTATCTTCATCAACGTGCTCAGCTTTGATGTCACTTCAAGCATTTATTTTCTAGTATAAAACTAATTATAGGACAACAGCCACCACAAATTTTGCGGTTGCTGAAAAATGAAAATAAACAAAAACGAAGCCGTTGTAAGTACGAAAAGTGTATGTGTTTGGAACATTGCACATTTGTGTACAAAGAATGTTACAAGACTAAGCATGTAACGGTTTCGTTTTGTTCTATTTTTATGTTATTAATTTTTGCAGTTTATTTGATTTTTAAATTTTTTCTTTTCGAGTTTAAGATCATAGGTTGTTTCAAATCCAAGAGTAGATGCTACATTATTAAGACACTGGTGGTGTGGTCCTTTTTTGTTTCAAAAGTCGTCGGTAAGCAGTCGAGTTACTTGTTGCTCGTAATAAGGTAAAAACGTAGAGTAACGTGACATAATTCATTTAATTTAGAGATAATTAATTTTGTGAATTTTATTTTAGAGAGTCTCTCACTTCATGGTACACGGATTTAAAACCCTTTTCGATCCAAACATCGAAATATATTTATTTGTTATAAAAACCNAATTCGTTAATTCAAAAATTCGACTTAACGCTTTTTTTGTTTATTTACTACTATCATTTCTTTTTTTTTTTTTTTGTTTCCATGACTTTTATTTTTTTGTATTAACGCCACTTCTTAATACTATCATAAGTGATATTATTACAATATATAAAAATCATAACAACTTCACATTCAATAAAAACAAGAGCACATTCAGTGCTTTCATGAATATATTCGTAATCTGGGCACTAGAAAATATAAAATTTTGCAGATATCCAGGGTAAAAAAAATTTTTTTTTGTTGTAGAGTTGTAATAGATAAATTGCTGATAAATTATAATTTGTGGATTAGCGATGAAGCTCATTTCCACTTCAGCGGATATGTTAATAAACATAACTTTCGTTATTGTGCCGGTGAAAACCCTCATCCACTTCACGAGCAAGAACTCTATTTGGCCAAAGTTAAAGTTTGATGTGAAAACCTTTTTCATCCCATAAGTGCCTATGAATCAGAATACTTATTTACAACAAGATGGAGCAACTTGTCAAACAGCTATAGTTACATTGAACTTTCTAAGAGAATTTTTGCCGAACCACCTCATTAGTAAAAATTCATTATAATTATTGGCCTCCATGATCGCCAGACCTGAGCTCATATGACTATTTTTATGGGGATATCTCAAGTCTAAGATATATAAGGTACGCTCGGCAACAATACAAGACTTAATGTGTACTTGTTGCTCGTATTAAGGTAAAAACGTAGAGTAACGTGATAATTCATTTAATTTAGAGATAATTAATTTTGTGAATTTTATTTTAGGGAGTCTCTCACTTCATGGTACACGGATTTAAAACCCTTTTCGATCCAAACATCGAAATATATTTATTTGTTATAAATACCAAAAAAGTAGTTTCATAAATTATACTGAAAACAAAAATTACTTTAATCTTGCAGAAAATTATTCAAAAAAAATAATTTAATTTATAATATTTTATGACATCACAAAAATATTTTAAGTGGCGATGATGATGAGACAAAAAGACCTCTTAAAAATGACTAATCAACAGATTCAGAAACAGATAAACAAGTCACATCCATTTATAGTCCGAACACAATAATCAACTAAATTTGGTACTGAATCCTTTATTATCTACAACACCAGAGATATCGCAATCACTAATTTTTTATCACAACATTCTTAATTAAATTTCGATATAATCATAACTTATCTACTTAAAACGTCCAGTTTCGATCAGTTGTCGTTACGATAGGTTTTACAAACATAACTCAATCTCCGAAACCAACTACAAATTAAAATGGAAAACGGCACTCATACATTAGATACTACAGACACTTCCGAAATATCGAAAAGCAAAAATATCGAGAATGAAGAAAAATCACCACCACAAAAACTCCTTCACGATGAAGTAATCGATGCTTTAATTAAAGAAGCCGAAAAAAGGGGATTAAGTGATTGTCAACTTGATATTACATCCGGAAGTACGAAAGGTGATAATTTTATGGGTATATTAGCAATAGTAAAGGTAACAGGAAAAAATATTAATGGGGAAAAAGTTCAATTAAATTGGATTGCAAAAGCAGCCCCACAAACCGATTTGTACCGTTCAATGTTAAAAATAGACATTGCATATGCAACAGAAGTTTACATGTACAAACTTTTCGATCAACTCGACGAATTTCAAGCAGAAAAGAAACTTTTACAGCCATTTAACGCCCATCCGAAATTCGTACTTTCCTATCTCGAACCGTACAAAGAGAGTTTTGTTATGGAAGATTTGAAAGCGGAAGGATATGTTTTAAGAGATCGTAAGCAACCGCTCGATATCAATCACGTTAAACATGTTATGAGAGAATATGGAAAATTTCATGCGATCTCGTTTGCTTTAAGGGATCAAAAACCAGAACTTTTTGCTAAATTGGCTAAAGAATGCGAAGAAAAAATTTTTGTAACCGATGATGAAGAACATATCCAAAATATGATTAAATACCAAGATAATTTTATTAACAAACTATTGGCTCTTTTAAACGAAGAAAGTGATGCTGAAGTCATTAAGTCTCTTAAATATTATTGTAAAGATCCTGTTCATTTTAATATGAATACTATTACGGAAACGAACGAGTATAGCGTTATTGGACATGGTGATTGTTGGACTAATAATTTTATATGGAAATATGGGGTACGTAATAATGTACAATCTTAAATTTAATAAGTAATTGTCGTAATCTACTTCAAATCATTCCAATAAGTTACCTTAAATTACTATTTGTACATTAAAACAAATTTTTGCTTTCAACGAATACAAATACTTCAAAATCAGATAAAAAGTCAGAGGAGTTCTGCATTAAGTTTTTGAGGTCTGCATCAAATCTTTATCTATCCAGTAGATATCTCCATAAAATCTACTAAAATCCCTATCATTCCGTATAAAGTCTGCGTCAGTTCTGGATCATTACTATGTATTTATCAGTCCAAGTCTGTGCTGTATCAAGGCTTTATAGAGCCTGTATCTCACCTACTTCTATGAATATCTAATCTTTGACTTTAATGTTAAGTTTTTGAAATCGGCATCAGATCTTGATTATACCTTTTAGTAGATAGATATTTAGCCTCAAAAAGATTTACTTAAGTCAAAATCATTCCTGCGTCAAGTCTTCATCAAATCTGTATTGGCATAACATTGCCTAAAGTCTACGTCAATTCGAGATAGAGCTTTTCCTGTAAATTAAACCAAATCTGTGCAATATTAAGGCTTTATAGATCCTGTATCACACTTGCATTTATGAGTACCTTATCTTTCACTTCTGCATTAAGTTTCTGAATCAAATATCCATTATACCTATAACTGGATAAATGAATTGAGCCTCCAAAAAGTTTACTTAAACCTTAATCATTCCTACGTCAAGTCTTCATCAAGTCTACTTAATCTCTAGCAATCTCTGTAACAAGTCTGTATTAAGTCAATATCAGTTTACCAATTTATCAAATCTGTGCATACCAAAATATAAACCTATAGAGCCTGCATTAAAAATGCATCTATGACTAGGTGCTTACTATTAATTTAAATATATTATACCAATTTATTATTAATTTATTATTATTTTCCATCATAACTCTGACTTTATACATGCATTACGCCTAGATGAAATCTACGATGGCTCTTTATAATGCCCACACGAAGTTTGTATAACGTAAGTATAACGTCATGAAGACTTTATACTACTCATCTCTGCATAAAGTCTCTAACATGTTTCTACCAAATCAAGTCTCCACCAAGTATGCAACAAGCCTGCATCAAACAACTATAGAGTTCGCTACAAAACTGTATCTAGGAGTGTAAATGCATTATTTCACCATCAAATCTATTTATACATTCCTATTATGTTAACATTTTAAGTGTTCCTCAAGTCAGCAATTATAGTCAAGTCTATAGAGAATAGATTCTCTTTCAATTCCCAATCCATCAAGGCTGTTTTAGATTGCACAAAATCTTTATACATTTTTATTAAATCTACGTCATGTCTTTGAAGTATGCTGAAATCTATGTTGTATCGAGTGACCTGAGTCAATATCTTCTCTACATGATGTTTTAACCAACATTGCGTAAGACCCATATACTATTATTAGATCTGATGAAATTTGCCTTAAATCTTCGTTATGGCACCTGGATTAACAGATGCACTAAACCGCTGTCAAATCAACTTAAATTGCTGTTATTCCTACATCAACTCTGCGTCAATACCCGTAATATCCAAAGTCTTTGAAACTGCAATAAAAAACAGGATCATGGACCACATAAAAGATAATAATCTAATAACACAATATCAACATGCATATCAAAAAGAAAAATCAACAACATCAGCACTGCTTAGTGTAATCCAAAGTATAATAACTGGTTTTGATACGCAAAATTATACACAAGTAGTTTTCTGTGACCTGAGTAAAGCTTTTGACTCAGTGAATCACCAAATTCTTCTGAAAAAAATAGAAAAATACGGCATAAATGAAAATGGAAATAAACTTATTGCTTCATATCTTCAGGATAGACAACAACAGACACACTGGAAGGGAACAATTTCTGAATGGAGAACAGTAGAAACAGGAGTACCACAGGGCTCTGTGCTCGGACCAGTTTTATTCCTGTTATATTTAAACGATTTACCAAAAAATATAAAGGCAGACTCAATGTGTTTGTATGCTGATGACACCTCATTCATAAATAGTTCTAAAGACTTAGAAGACCTAAAAGAAAAAACAAATATAACATTAAATGAAGCAAAAAATTGGTTCGAAGTAAATAATCTACAACTGAACAGAGAAAAAACACACGTACTTACCTTCTTCACAAAACAAAACCAGGAGGTTAGAGATAATACTACAATGTTTCTAGGAGTTACACTATCGGAAACTCTATCATGGAGGGACCACATAAAAAAATTGAAAGGAAAATTGGCAACGGCACTGTATTGTTTAAGAATGTTAACAAAAAGTTTACCGGAGGAAGAAATAAGGAATGTATATTTTGCGTACTTTCATAGTATGGCGATATATGGCATACTTACCTGGGGCGCATCTAGTGAAGCGGTTGAGATTTTTAAATTGCAAAAAAAAGCAATTAGAATACTTAAAAAATTAGGTTATAGAGAAAGTTGCAGAGGTTATTTTAGGGAATTGAGGATACAGACAATACCATCCTGTTTTGTTTTTTCTTGTCTACAATATGTTTATGCGCAAAGAGAAACATTGGAAAGAAATATAGACTCTCACAACTACAGTACACGACATGGAAATAATTTACTGGTACCCTTACACATAGTACAGAAGTCACAAAATACTTTGCTTTACCATCAAGAATAAAACAATTAGACGAGAAGAAATTTAAAGCAGAAATGAAGAAACACCTAATAGAAAATGAAATTTATTCAATTCAAGAATACTATGAAAGTAAGATGCAGGGTATTACCTAGCAGAGGGAGAGGAAGAGGAACTTGAAGTTGATTTCATGTATTTCTTTTCGGTTTTTTCTCTTTTTATTGACGAATTGAATGTACCATGTTTTGTATGTTTAAGAAATAAAACTATTATTATTATTATTATCAAGTCTGCATCGAAACAACTCGGAATACAGCCAACATCTTCTACACATCAACTTTTAACCACCTTCCTATCAAGTCAAGTCTACTCTGTACAGAAAATCCCTATCAGACTGCATATCAGAGTCCATCAAATATAATACTCACTTCATATATATAATGTTATTAAACATCGATCAAGTCTAATCTTTACAGAATCAAGTCTCTACCAAATCTGCATAGGACTGCATGATATCTCTATCTCATCTGTACCAACGCTGCATTTAAGAGTGCACTCCCCTCAGCGCGCCAGCAATAATAATAATAGTTCTAATCAAGTCCGCATCGAATCTTTGAAGTCTACGTAAAATTTTCATTATACCATTAAACTTAATAGATAAGGTTTAGCCTACCTTTATCATGCCTGTATCAAGTTTCTAACAAGTCCGCAACGCGACAAATCCTCATAAAGTCTAAATCGTCTCCATGAAGTTCTCAACATGTTTCTATCAATTCAAATTTGTACAGATTCATCATCAGTTCTTCGAGGTTAGATAAAATCTCCATACATTCATTATTAAATCAGGATCAATTCTTTAACGATAACATTTAACATAGTTTTTAATTTACCCAATTATAACGACAAAATATTTAATTACAATAACTAAGGTATCTACAAATTATTGTTAAATGATTTATCAAAAATTATTTGATGAAATAACGAAGTATTGTATTTTGTGTTGATTAACAAAGGTTTTATTGTGCATATTTTTAAACATTTCTTTTTATACAATTTTTATGTTACCTAGTATTATTTACTCTCTACTATATCTAAACATTAAAAACTTAATAATTTACTAATTTAACCTTCATAAAATTTTCCATAATTTCCGTTGACTCACGCTTGTTAAATCATTGCTTGAAAATCGTCTACTCTGTATATGTATACGATAAAAATCAGTAATCTCCATAATTACCAGGTGCGCGTTATCTAAAAGCGTAATCAAAATTTAAAAATAGCGCAAATAATCTAAAAACAATTTATTATTGTTGCAGCCGGGGTTTATATACGTAATCTATATGTTTTTTATTCGTTTTTTTAGGATGCCAAAAATCCAGAAATTCCTACTAAAGTATGCATATTAGATTGGCAATTATCTCGTTACGGATCAGTAGCATTAGATCTTTCGTACTTCTTTTATGCATGCACAACTCAAGAGTTCAGAGAGAAACACTACGACAAAATGATTCAGCTTTATTATTACTCGTTATGTTCGCATTTGGTGGAAATGGGGAGCGATCCAGAAAGAATGTTTCCGTTTTCCGCTTTGATTAACGAACTGAAGCATCATTGCACATTTGGCTTTTACATGGGCACGATGGTACTACATATCATGATTAGCGATAACACCGAAATGCCAGAATTTTCTAAAACCGATAATGTTGATCAATTTATGGAATCTTTCGATTATAAAAGCGTCAATGAACATCTCTTTAATGAACGAGCCAGAGGAGTTATTTTGCATATGCATCAAAAAGGATATTTTGATTACTTGAAAGATAAATAGTTAATTTTTATTGATTTTTCTTTTGTATAAAAATGTAAATATTTCTTATATAAATAAACTTAGTTATAATAAAGTTAATGTTAAAAAGATAATGTACATATTTCTTCATGCCCGGTTCACATTATTCCAGTCCAGTATTCCAGCGAGTCAATCAAGTCCAGTGGATTCTTAATCGATTCGTTAAGAATTCGCAATCCAGCACTGGATTGGGGGTCTACACTGTTCTAGTGGCGCTGGAATGGGCGAGCTGGAATGAAAAATTAGACCGTCGATCAAGTCTCTGGAGTGGAGTGCCGGTTCACATTACTCCAGTAGCATTCAGAAGTATCAGTAACAGTTGATTGAAAATAAACAGATCAACTTTTCCTAGAAAAAGTTACCTATGCCTGCTATGGTTTAGTAAAAGTTGGTTCACAGATGCTGCTCTGTGCACACGCTAAAACGTTTTGGAAAATGAAGTTCCTATGGATAAAACAAGGACAAGGATTTTTTAAATGTTTTTGCAACACTAAATGCAAATCCATGAAGTGCATGTACAAGAAGAAAGGCGTGCTTTGTAACTCATGAGTCACAAATCTTTGCCTTGCTGTAATAAATGATAAACATTTCTATTTGTATGTATTATAAAGGTTTTGCATTTTTATTAGTTTTTTAAATAGTTTTTTATAAACATTTCTATCTCTTTATGTATTAATAAAGCTTTTGTCTTTTTATGTGTTTTTTATTAGCTTTTACTACCACAAGACAGTGAGAGTATACTTTCCCTAAGTATAGTCAACTCTGACTAGTAAATGTTGATCAAAATTCAACACTATTCGCTTTTGATCAACTTTTACTGAAAAGAGCAGTAAGAGTCGACTTTACCTAGGCAGTGTCAACTTTTATTGCAGAATCGACTTTCCCTGTAACATATATATATTTTTTTGTCATGGCAAAAATATGCCAGCGCAAGATTTTTGTAAATAATAATAATAATCGTTTATTGTGCCATAAGGTTGTCCTTTTACATTCATCAAAAATAATACATTAATAATTAAAAATCAAAAGGAGGGAGATTACATCATATGATTGGTAAGGGTTATAAGCCCATTACCACTACTATTACCAACGCTTATTACACATTTATACGAACACGCAGCGTTTCCCTATATTACAACATCACTCTGCAAAAACTCGTCAACAGAGTAGAACGCCTTTACAATTAGATACGACCTGAGCTTAGACGTTAAACTAGCCAGCGTCAAGTCACGAACGCCAGCTGGCAGCAAAACCTGACTCATGTAATTCGATCCCCGCTGCCCTCTAGTCAATCTGCGATACTGAACATATAATATTATCTCTGTTACGAGTATTATAGTCATGAAGATCCCTCCAAAATAGCATAATTTATATAGGAGTGAATAAAGGCATAGTATGCAGCTTTAAGGACTCCTCCATCCACAATCTTAGATATCGTACGCAAAAAGTAAACACCACTACAAATCTTACTCCCAATAGCATACACCTCGTCAAACTTCAACGTGGGAGGGGCAATAGACACACCCAAGAACCTCGCAACAGAAGGATTCTCAAAAACAAACCGCCTCAATGAAATCGCCATTCTAGTAGTTTTATCCCGTTAACCCGATCAAAAGCAGACTCCGTAACCAATATAGTAGCGTCATCCGCGTAAAGCAAACATTCCACATCATCACTCAAATATTGAGGAAAGTCATTAATGTAAAGCAGGAGGAGTAGCGGGTCAAGTATGGATCCCTGTGGTACTCCTCGCCTCAAACTGAGGTCACTCGATACCGCACCATACAACGTTACTTGTTGTATTCTATTCTTCAGGTGGGACTCGACAAGAGCGTCACTCGTCAATCTGATGTGACACGCAGTCAAATGCCCGCGTCAGATCCAAAAACATTGCGATGCAATGATGACCCCTTTCAAAAGAATCCAAGGACATATCAACGAACTTGACAACAGTATTCGACGTGCACCTACCCTTTCGAAATCCGTATTGATTTAGGCAAAGCAAGTTATTTCCCTCTATATAACAACAATTTTATCATACATTGCACGCTCAAACACCTTGGAAAAAGCCGGCAGGTCACTTATTGGCCTATAATTGAAGCAATCCGTAGTATCTCCTTTTTTACGCACGGGCACCACGTTAGCTATTTTCAATATATCAGGGAAATGAGAATCAGCAAATACTGAATTTAGAACTTTTGTCAACGGCAGCACGTACATGTCTACATTCCTCTTTATAAAATAAGTTGGGATGGAAAAAACATCACGTGTAGGACTATTCTTCAATGAACAGAGCAGCTCGCGTACTTTAATAGGACCAACTTCTTAAAAATGAAATTGCGCTACTAGTTGATCCACACATTCACATATGAGAATGGGATCAAGCACACCACTTGGCAGCCCTTCAACGATATCATTGGGAGTATCAACGAAAAACCTATTTAGCACATTCGGATCAAGATTAATATTTAGATTGCTTTTATCGTTGGCTCTATTTTCATTTATTATTAACCACACTGCACTAGCTTTATTTTTTTTGCAGTGTTTATAAAGCTGCTAGTTGCCTTCAGCTTAGCTTCAGCTGTAGCCTTTCTATACTCACAATGATAATCTTTTTTGGCTTTTAACAGATTGGGGGACCAATCAGAAATCCAGAAATCCAGTATTCAAGAATCTCTCGTGAAATATGGCAAATTTATCGGTAGCATTTTAGTGTAAATCATCCAACATCTCCCACGCAAACTGACTAAACAAATTGAAAAACAACAAACTTCCACACCCAGTCAACGGCCGACATATCCTATTCAGATACAACACACACCCCACACCACCGATATACGGAACAGTAATGCACTGCGTCCGATGATCTGACAGATTGGGTTCCGTGACAGAGGTAGTGCAATGGCCAATGGCAAAATTTATAAATATAATATTATCCAGACAGTTTCCATCCCTAGTTGCTTCCGTAACAGTAGTGTAAAAACCATAGCTCAAGAACAGGTCACACGCCATAACAACGTCCCCGTCTGAACTACCAAACATCAGGTTAAAATCACAGACTACAAAAACTTTCCTAAACTGAGTCAGGATTTCCAAGAGACAACTGGCCTTTCGACAAAAAGTCTGAAAATCACCAGCAGGCGATCGATACAAGCAAACTACAACTACATCAAAATCAACACAATAGACCGCCGCTATCTCGCAATGGATTTCCAACGTTAAATGATTAATGGAATCAAGCTCTCTGTACGTACTCAAGAGCCGCCTTACCTAAGACTGCAACACCGCCATGTCCATGCTCAGATCTGGCGTAAAAAGATAGGGTTTTTGATGTCCGAATGGGCTATCTTGGAAACTGTAAGAGTTAGAACAAAAGCAGCTAACATGTCTAGATCTCTTTTTTTAAATAAATTCCAATGTCGAAAACCTAAAAGCGCTATCGTTAAAAAAACCGCGTAAGTATGGGAACGCGTAAGACGGGGTCGCGTAAGTCGAGGTTTTACTGTATTAATATGAAACAAGGTTATAGATGGTTTATCAGTTAAATAATATCCGGTATTGTCTGAATTGGATAAAAATTCGAATTTATATTACCAGTTTCTATCCTTCAGCGTATTATTTACAGTAGTGATCTGAGATGGAGGAAATACAAATGGAATGAGTGCTGCGTTTTGAGATGTAAATGTCGATGTAAATATTATAATTTGTTTTTGAATCCATTTACTACATTCTTTTATTTTTAAGTCTGCACTTTACTACTTAACCTCTATAATATATAGAACATATATGAAGCGCTTCCTGCAAATCTTCAAAGTCTAATAACTCAACTTTAACTTTTTTCATTTTACTATAATCAAAGTGATGTGGCTAATTTGCGCAATGGCGCGTGAAAACATCGTGCGCTTTTTCCTTTTATTTATTTTCCTTTTGTTGTGTTATTTTGTCTAGTGATGAACTAAAACATTTAATTTTATACTGTAAAGAATAGATGTTATGCAGCATCACTACTAATACCATAATTCTTCATTAAATCTCAACAAAATCACTTAAAAACCTGGCTAGTGAATTATACAACAAAATATTTACTTCATAAAAAAAATTGTTGAGCAATCTTAGTTGTCATTAATTAATTTATTTTAACAAAATATAATGAATCTAATAATATTCTTATTACAATAAAAAAAAATTAAACGCTATTCTTTTGAGTTAAAGTATTATCCTCATAAGTCTCCAACACATCAGCCAAATGCTCATTATCCCTAGGTTTCTTAAATTGTCTCTTCCTTTGACTTGATTTCTTCCGTTTAGGAGCAGTTGGTTTTTTAATACCATGATCTTGCATTGACCTAATACCTTAAAAAAATAAACATAAATAATTTAAAGTATTTAAGTAGAATGATAATGTATAACAATATATTTAAACATTTATTTACCCTGTTTTTCCAAATATTCATCAATTTTTGCATCATCCATAGCATCGACAGCTACAGATCTCCACAATTTTTGAAATTCTTCATCGATAGGCATTGAAGCTGTTCTGTCATTATAAAATAAAACTTTCTTTTTATCCATGGGTCGAGTCACAAAAATAATCTCGTTCTGATTTTGCAAAGTCTGCAGAAACAAATTTAATTATTATCCCAAATTCAATACATTTTATTGAAACAAAAACCTTAATAGCTTTATCACAATGTGGTAAAGATTCTTGTATATGTTCCATCATAACTCCACCTAATCCTTTCAAATCTTGTTGTTTTAGTAATTTTAACAAACTTTTCCTATCTTTCAATTTATACATTGCTTTAAAAACATATCGACCATCCTGGGTCACTTCTACTTTAGGATTACTTGGTAATGCTTCACTTTGTAACCACTATAAAATATATAATAAGCTATTAATTAGTCATTAATTAAATCGAATTTTTTTATATACCATTTTTACTTTACTACCAACATCTAATTGATTTGTTTCATCTAAAATATCTTCCAACGATAATGAGTGGACATCACCATCTTGATGTCTTGTTTTCATATGATTAACAATCTTTGCCAATACTCCAAATCTATATTGTGAACTTCCTGTGGATGTTTTATATCTAAAATGATACAACGAAATGGATATGAGTTAAGTTTAACAATTTGAAGAGTTTTTCTAACGTATTAATGTCCATTTTAGGTGCTGCTGGTGCAGGTGGTTTAAATTTCTTCTTAGCATCTTTATTTGAATCAACTTTTGGCTCTGTTTTCTTCTTTTCAACACTAATAAATAAATTAATTTGTAGGTTATGTTAAATATTTGTCTTGTATTACTTACGCTGGAGTCGTTAAGGCTCTCTTTTTGAATAATTCACGTTCTTTTAACAACGCCGGATCCATTTTTATATAGATAGTTAATATTAATATCGAAAATAACTTCCTGCAAACGATTAAAACTAATATTTAACAATCTGTTTACAATTATTTACATCTGTCACTTTGAAGTTTCTATCAAAGTCGGTAATATAGAATTCTTGAAAAATCCCGCGAAATATTTAAATTTAATTTCTTTACATTTTTAACAATATTATAAAATGATTGTTATAATTTTTTTAATAAATTGGATAATTTTATTTTATAATTTTATTATTTGTAAATGATTTAATATTATTGCGTAGGCGATACAATTTAAAAAGATAAAACGATTTCCTCTGCTAATAATAAAAAAAGATAAATCCATTTCCTTTTAATGCAAAACTGCTCATCCAAGAATGAACATCCAAATTACATTTTTAGTGATCCTCCTCACATTGCCTTTTATTTCCTGCAATAATAAACGGGTAAAAAGGATTGTAGGAGGAAATCCGGCTAATGTACCACCTGAAGATGACCCAGTTGCGTTTGTAACCCATGCAAGAAGATCAGCAACCATTCGGGGTGTTTTAGAATATCCCCATTATGCTTTTAGAGGTATACGATATGCTCACCCACCCACAGGACGTGATAGATTTCAGGTAAAATTAAATAACATTTTTTATTTGAATTTAATCCTTTTATGATTAGAGACCAAGAACTTATTATCTCGAAGGGGTTTACAATGCCACAATATATCCTCCAGCTTGTCTTCAGCCTGCCCCTACCACTGGACGAATAGTTGGAAGTGAAGATTGTTTGTTCCTTAATGTTTATACTCCTATGTTACCGGAAGGACAAGAAGGATTACCTGTTTTGGTTTGGATTCATCCTGGAGGGTTTAGATTTGGCTCCGCCTCTCAATTTGGTGTAAATGTTAATAATTAATGCTTTAGATTGATTAAAATGTTAAATATTTTAGGTGAGGTATCTACTTAGAAATGATATTATCGTAGTTTCGATTCAGTATCGATTAGGTTCTTTGGGATTTTTAAGTACAGGAACGGCTGAATTACCTGGAAATGCAGGTCTTTTCGATATGGTGTCAGCAATTGAATGGACTCGACGTTATATTGGGTTCTTTGGTGGAAATCCTCATCGAGTTACCATTATGGGACATGGATCTGGAGCTAGTAGTGCTTTATTAGTAGCCTTATCAAATGTAGCAAGAGGTCAGAATATATCTTTTTTAATTTTACATAATGTTCTCAATCGACTTCATTTTGTTTTTAATCTCGATTATCAACTTAAAAAATTTTATAACGAAATGTGAAACTAACAGTGGAATAAGAATACCTGAGATAAAATCTCTGCCACTACAACTCTAAAATTAATCTGCCCAACAAGAGCTCTCAAAATAAGAAAACGAGGAATTAAAGTCTTATATTAGCAAAACCAAGCTTGTAAGAAATAGCCAAAGAGACCATGTGAGGCAGAATTTCCATGTTTATAAATACATATAGAAGATATAAAAATAAAACTCACAAAGTTAGAGTTAAAAAATCATAGTAATATGGTTTATGTAATTGATAAATTATTTATTACGCAACGAAACTTCATTAACATTCAGAAAAAGGAATTATAAACCCAGGGTTTGGCTTTAAAAGATCTTCGTTAACATTCTTCTTCGAATCATTCTTCGTGTCTTTTATTAACATTGCTTAAAAATCCTTCATAATTTATCGTGATATTATAATTCGTTTCAGATATATGATTTTTTTTTATTTGATCTTCTTTACCACAGTTTTCAAAATATTGAGGTCAGAGTTGAATCAAAAAGATTGTTGTAACCAAATTAACGAAGATTAAAAATTTACCTTTCGGATACTAAAATTAGATTAAATTTTAAAACGTTTTTTGATGACGATTGGTGTAAAAAATTTTGGTCTAAACCCATAAATGGCTAACCACTATTCACAGGAATTAGTATCTCTTTCAGGTGTTGGACGCTGCAGATAATAAGCAAGTTCAACCCCTACAGGACATTTTTTATTGAATACTTCATTTAAATCAGGTTTGTCATTGGCAACCTCATTGTAACAACCCCAATACGATATATAAAATCTCTTGTTGCAGTTTCGTCTAGTTTTCTTCTCTTCGCTTGTAATTGATCATCACATTGATTACTAACAGAACTGTCGCTGTTATCACTTTCGATTATTAATTAAAGTATCCTCTTTTTAATGCATCAAGCCGTTTTGAAAAACCGCTTTTAGGTTTTGAGAAATAAATTTTTGAAAGATCGAACATTTTTTCGTCGATTAAGTTTTAAAAGTTCGTATAAAATCCATTTCTAGGAAATTTAATTTCTAATTTCATGAAAATTTCCCAATGTGTTAATAAGAGTGTCCTCTTTCCAATGAACCAACACGTTTTGAAAAATAACTTTTATTTTTTGAGAAAACAATATTTGAAGTTTTGATAAAATTTTCGATGTTGCAATTTTCATCGATAAGTTTCAAAATTCGCTATAAAATTCATTTCTTGAAGGATTCTTGTGGAAATATCGCCAATTATTAATTAAAGTATCCTCTTTTTAGAGTTGCTTCGTTAGTTAAATTAGCATCAAAAAAATTCATTTTGTATCTTGGATCCAAATAAGTTGATATATCTTATCAGGTTTCTTATTAATTTCATTTTTATTCAAATATCGCAATAATGTGGCAATGTAGGGTTATTATGTTATTACTGTAGGGTTGTTATATCACTTCAGAAATGCACCAGAAATTATAACCATAATGGCCGGATAGATATGCCGGATATCCGGCCGAAGGGGATGCCGAATATCCGGTATCCGTCTTTTCGCAAAATCCGTTCCTCCACTACTATACAGGTATTCATAAATATTATTTCCTTAAAACTTTTTGATTATGTCATACACCTTTAATTTTCCAACTGATTCTCAAAGCCTATTTAATTTTAAAATAATTTTCACTCTTAGAAATGTTTGATTAGACGCACCGTTTTTGAGTTACTCTAGGCATTTATGGGTTTGGACGAAAAATTTTTGCACCAATCGTCAGCATTTTGACTCTAGTATTTGTGATTAAAATTATGCCACGACTTACAGAAACACTCTGTATAGTTTAGTTTTTGAGATACGATATTTTAAAGTTTCTTTAATTAATAATTACAGAAACTTTATATAACTAAACTATATTATAATTACTAATTATAAATACAACACACAGTTGAATTTGAAAGACCATAACAACTATGTTTATAGAAATGAAGAAATTATTAATTGCACGATAAATATTCATAAAATTACTGTTAAAGATAAATTTCGATGTTATCCTTAATTTTTGAGATACGATTTTTATTATTTTGATTTCTATCAAAATTTCACAAATATTAATGCAAATGTTGAATTAAGAATACCATTTTACCCAGATAAAAGAAATCTAAAATTTGTTTTCAGTACATTAAAATAATATAAATTATGTCTCAAAACGTTTTGTATTTTGTTATGATATCTCAATTGGTCTTTGAGATACGACTTTTTCAAGTTTGTTATTATAAATACAACAGCAATGAAAATCAAACGAATACAGTTTGATTTAAGAGATCATAACAACGATATTTATGGAAAAGAAATTTTTTTGTCTAATTTTGATATATTCTTTGTTTTTGAGATACGTTTTTTTGAAGTTTCTACTTTTATAAATACAACAGCGGTGAAAATCAAACGTGCACAGTTGGATTTAAAACTCATAATTATTTCTTCTTCTTAGTTTAGGATTTCGCATGTTATTCAACGGATGATAATTACCATGATTGTTCCCTCTGGCCTTTTCCCTTCAAGTTGATTGTGTTTGCATATTTTGGCTATTCGCTTTTTTTCTCTCTCTTATCGCCTTGTTTGTTTATGTGTCTGGTAAAGAAAGTGCTAGGATCGACTTGAGAGACTTCATTTCTATCGTTTCGTTTTCTACCGAAGTTTTTGCTGCGTTCACTTCTCTTATCTCTCTCATTTTGACTACTATCTACTTACATGTATTTGTTTCTCCAAAATACTTATCTGAACAACTCTGCAAACTTTAATGTTGTTAAATTTATGTATGCTGGTTTTGCGCCTTCTTATGTGGATTGCGATCGATTTAAGTTTCTTCTCCGAGATAGTTAAAGGTCATCACCTATTCTATGGCTTCTATGAACTTCGAGTCTCCCAAGACGTCATTATGTTTAACATTTTTCTGTGAAAGTCCATATATGCATAGTATTTTTTTGATGTTTTCCAAAATTTCTATTCTTTGGAGATCAACTTCGTTCTCTACTGTAAGTAGTATATCGTCTGCATAGCAGATTATGTTTATCTAATCGTTTCTCATTTTGCATCCGTTTAGAAGTTTGACCTCTCTATTATCCTTTCAATAATTAGATTTGACAAGAACGGACTTAATAAATCTGTCTGATTCTTTGCAAAACCAGGATTTCCTGAGTGGCATCGTTGTGTACTTTCGTTGTTTTGTTGTCTGTTTTTATGTTCTCAACTTACCATATTATATCAGAAGGTACTTTTTTGGTATTTAGTATATCGAGTACATTCTTCAATGTAACTATCAAAACCTTTTGTTAGGTCGACGAAATCCATGAAACTTTATAGGTTTTTCTATGATCTGTCGGATTATGAAGTTCGTGTCTATTATACTTTTATTCCGTCGGAATTCCTACCGTTCTTCGGAAATTTTTATCATTGCCTAGAGGAATTTATGTATAACATCAGCTAATAGTTTAGCGTGGATTTCACTATGGTTATACCTCTATGGTTTTCTGGCTTCTTCTTATCTCCCTTTTTGTATATCGTGTTTGTTATGTGTGTTTTCCGCTCCTGTAGCATCGTACATGTTAACATAACTTTCTTAACGAATTTGCCTCGTATGTCATGGGGTCCCGCGCTTCTTCTATTTTTTAATTTGGTTTCAATGTTATATATGTCCTCTTTGGTCATGGTTCTTCTGTGGTACCTTTATATATTTTTGGCTTTGTGTCTATGTGAACATCTACATCTCTTCATATAATCTTGCAAAGTGCCCTTTCTATTCTTCTCTCGAAAGGCTATTAATCTGAACACATCTCTTTTCTGATTTTGAATCATGTTCCAAACAATCTTCTTCGCAACATGTAAATCCGATTCCATGTTCTTCGTGAACCTTTTGTTTTCTTTTGCTTTCTTTACTTCGTCATTTACTTGGTTCCGAACTCTTATATATCATGTATTTCTAAGTTTTTATATATCAGGTATGTATTACTCCATTGCCAGTTCTTTAACCTTTGGTGTATATCAGTGTGTTCTTGCTATTCCATTGATGTTTACTTTTCGCTTTCCTAGTACTTCATATGCAACCGTTCTTCATATGCATTTAATTTGTCGCAGCTTGTTTCCACGCATCGTCTTCTTCTACGTTATGAGTGATGTCGCAGTCTTTTGTGTTACTCAAATTCTATCAATATTTCCTGTGCTTTCGTGGTTCAGAACATAACATTTCATGTGGCCGATCTTAACAAGTTTTTCGTTCTCCAAACAAAACATATTCCGTTTCAGATTCTTGTTCATTATCCTTTTACTTTATTAACCCAGATATGCCTAATGTACTACATTTAGGACGGTCAATTCCTGTTGAAACTTGCAAGGTCATGAGCGCCTGGAAATGCGCACGTTACATGAAGTCGTGTATTTTAGATGTAGCAGTGAGAGTGATAACTTGCAGTTTAGGTGTTTTCTTTAGATTTTGTTTTAAGTGCATCCGAAAGTCAAGATAGGTTGGAAATGGATTATTGCCCGGTTCGCTTTGAAAGGTAAGGTAATTTTCAATTATAGAAATTAGAATAATATTATGATTCTTTGATTACAGTAACAATAAATAGTTGTATAATTAGTATTATTTAAAAGTTTTGCATTATTCAGTAAATTAGAGTATAAATTAGGGGGGTGAAAGACGGGTGTACTATATATAGGACATTA